CGTACGTTCTCGTCGTAGTAGTCGAGCCTCAGCCACTGCTCTTGGTTGGTCGACTTCATGAAGGCCTGAGCCAGCTCTGCGGCAGTGTCACCACCCGTCTTCTTGACTTGGGCGAGGAAGGCCTTTGGTTCGGCGACCTTGGCGCCTTCCTGCGACTCCTTCTCGCGGCGGCGCTGGACAGCTTCTAGCTGGGCGGAGGCGTCGATCTGGTGGAACTGAGTTCGGAGCTGGACGAGGCCGTTGCAGCGTGTGAGGTGGAGTTCGTCTGCGCCCAGTCAGTCTTGAAGCGAGGGTTGTTGTCGCGCGCTACTTACTATCGCGGAAGGTGCCGAGCATGTAGCTGGTGCCCTTGCCGTCGTCGTGCATGATCTGACCACCGAATGTCTGCGTGTTGAGGACGTGGCCCTTCTCGTTGGCGTCCTCGAAGTGGGTGACGTACTCCTCGAAGTTGTCGTCGTCCTCTGTCGCAATGGGCGCTGCGGGGGCTCCTCCCTCGCCGGCGGCGCCAGGACGGTTGGTACTGCGCGGCATAGTGCGCTCAAAGCCGGACGCAATACCGAAGGCCTTCTGGCCAAAGCCCTTGGTCTTGCGCATGGCCTCGCCCCAGCGCACACCGGCGACGCGGTTGTAGTTGCGGTGGATGTTGACGGGCACGTCGACCTCGATGAAGCCCGACTCTTTCTTGAGGCGCAGCTGCGAGGGCTGGCTCTCGGTGGCCTTGGTGAAGGGCTGGTCGGGCGGGCGGTTCAGGTACTGCAGCACGTACAGCTGCTGCTCGGCCATCTCGGGGGTGATGTAGACGTCGTACTCGGCCACGACGGGGTCCTCGTCTTCGATATCCATGGCCGCTGAGTTGGCCATTGTGTTAGCGGAGTCTGGTTTGGTGTTGTGGAGAGCGAGGGCTGGACGTACAGGCCATTTTAAGTGGGCGCGTCGGGGCTGCAAGCAAAAAGAGTCGCGGTCACCCAAAGTGCCAAAAGTTCCAAAAGTCACGGCCGCCCCGCAACGCGAAGTCGCGTGGAGCCGCGGCCCGTGCAGCTCAATGACGGAATGCATCCGATGTCTCCAGCCCGCCAACCACGATAGTTCTATTCTGTACTTTGAGCTATCCACAAGCTCTAACAGATATCGCCATGGCTTACATTGCACCTATCCACCGGCCAAGCAGCGTCCGACATGCGCTCAAGCTCAACTTCCTCGCCCAGGACGAGGATTGCCTCGTAGTCGCGTAAGCAGTCCGCGGGTACATGCATCGCTATCTATCCAATGCTAATACGATTGCAGCAAATCCAACAGACTCGAATTCTATACTCAGACTTCCGATGGATTGGCCCTCCAACACTCCAAAGCCATCTATGGCAAGGTCACCATGCTCCAGAAGCTGCGCCCAGCCCTATCGCCGACCGACCACCTCTTCGTCGGAACCGATCGATACATGTACTTCACCCTGTCATGGAATCCCGAGAGGAAACAGCTACAGACGGAGAAATCATTCGCGAGCGTGGCCGACAATGCTGCAAGAGAGTCGCAAACGGGCGAGAGATGTCACATCGACCCAACGGGGCGATTCATGACTGTCGAGGTCTACGAGGGCATTGTCACCGTCATACCGCTAGTCCAAAGGGGAAAGAAGAGGAAACAAGAGGCTGATATCGCCCATCTGGGAGACCCTCAACCAGTCAGACTACCCGAGATGTTCGTCCGCTCGTCTGCCTTCTTGCGCCCACGGTCGTTCGACGACAAGCCCAAGATGGCTCTACTATACGAAGACACACACTCCCAAGTCAAGCTGAAGTTACGGGAGCTCACCTACGCCGGCGAAGAGGTGGACCTACAAGAAGGCGAGACCTGCAAGACCGAACTAGAGCTTGGCTCGAGCCACCTGATACCCGTCGAGGAGCCTTCTCACGGCCTGGTAGTCATCGGCGAAACATCTATCGGATACTACGATGACGAGAGTGGGGAACTTCAAACCGAGCCACTAGACGAGGCGACAATCTTTGTGGCTTGGGAACGCATCGACGCACAGCGATTCGTGCTCGCCGATGACTACGGTCGCCTATACATGTTCATGTTGGTCCTGAGCAGCCAGGGCAAGGTTCAATCGTGGAAGCTCGATGTAATCGGGGAGACGTCTCGCGCATCTACGCTGGTATATCTCGATGCTGGTTACGTCTTTGTGGGATCGCATCAGGGCGACTCGCAAGTCATCAAGATTGCAGAGAAGTCAATGGAAGTCGTCCAGACATTTTCCAACATCGCGCCTATCCTCGACTTCACCATCATGGATATGGGCAACAGATCTGGGGAGGGACAAAGCAATGAATACTCATCTGGTCAGGCACGAATAGTGACCGGTAGCGGTGCCTACCAAGATGGAAGTCTTCGCAGCGTTAGAAGCGGAGTTGGACTGGAGGATCTTGGTGTGTTGGGCGAAATGGAACAGATCTCTGATCTATTCAGTCTGAAATCCACCGCCTCTGCCCAGTATGAAGACACCTTACTAGTCAGCTTTGTCAACGAGTCGCGCATTTTCCGATTCGACCCGCAAGGCGAGGTAGAAGAGGTAGACGAGTTTGCTTCGCTCGCTTTGGATGAAACGACGCTAGCCGCTGCGAACATCTCACAAGGCCGTGTTATTCAGATTACAAATGGACGAGCCCGAATTTGCGATCTGGACGGCGGAATGATAACGTCGGAATGGATGCCGATGGGTGGTCAGGATATCACCGCTGCTTCAATCAACGATAGTCATGTTCTTGTCTCTTTAGGAGGCGTGACTATCGTTTCTCTGAGTATGGCAGACGGCCTACAAGTTGTCAAAGAGAAGAAATTCGGTTCCGAGAGCCAGGTCGCCTGCATTGCTCTTCCGTCAGTCTCAAGCTCGATATGCTTTATTGGCTTCTGGAGCAACTCCCAACTCGCCATATGCTCTCTCGATACCCTGGAAGCGGTCAAGACAGTTCAGATCTCCGAAGACTCGGTTCCCCGCTCATTACTACTGACTCAAATTTTCCCGGAGCAACCACCATCGCTCTTTGCCGCACTAGCAGATGGCAATGTTGTCACATACGCCTATGAACCCTCCACACATGAGCTATCCGGAAGGAAAAGTATCGTTCTAGGCACGCGCGAAGCTAGTTTCCGTGCCCTGCCTCGCGGCAACGGCCTATTCAACGTATTTGCAACATGCGAACACCCATCTTTGATCTACTCTTCAGAAGGTCGTCTTGTGTACTCCGCTGTCACGGCAGAGAAAGCGACGACAGTCTGTCCTTTCGACTCAGAAGCATACCCCGGATCCGTAGCCATCGCAACCTCAGAAGACCTCCGCATCGCTCTAGTAGACACCGAGCGGACAACGCATGTACAAACACTAAAGGTCGATGAGACCGTACGACGGATAGCATACTCACCTAGTCTGAAAGCTTTCGGTCTCGGAACTATCAAGAGAATACTGAAACATGGCGAAGAGATTATGCTAAGCCATTTCAAGCTTGTGGACGAGATTCAGTTCAAAGAGCTCGACACTTATGCGCTCAATGAAGAAGAACTGATCGAATGCGTCATGCGCTGCGAATTGCCGGACGGCTCAGGCGGTGTTGCAGAGCGCTTCGTCATCGGCACTGCATACCTAGACGATCAGAACGCCACTGCAGAACGTGGCCGCATAATCATCCTAGAGGTGACGCCTGAGCGCGTACTCAAGCTCGTCACCGAAATCGCTGTAAAGGGCGGGTGCAGGTGTCTAGCCATCTGCGAAGGCAAGATCGTCGCCGCGCTCATCAAGACTATCGTGGTATACGATGTTGAATTCCGGACACAAAGCTCTCCTGACTTGGTCAAGCTAGCTTCGTTCAGATGCTCGACTGCACCGATCGATGTCACCGTCAACGGCAGCATGATAGCCATCGCAGATCTGATGAAGTCACTTGCCGTTGTCGAATATACAAAGGGCGAGGCGGGTCTACCCGACAAACTTGTGGAGGTCGCGCGGCATTACCAGACCACTTGGGCAACAGCTGTGGCCGAGGTGGACACGAACACTTACCTCGAAAGCGATGCGGAAGGAAACCTGATGGTCTTGTACCGCGACCCGAACGGTGTCACAGACGATGACAAGAGGCGGTTGAATGTTAGCTCTGAGATGCTACTCGGGGAGATGGTGAATAGAATACGTCGGATTGACGTCTTAACAACTTCGGACGCTGCTGTCATTCCCAAAGCGTTCGTTGGCACTGTAAGTCTACCCCATTACATCTGTCAAACACACAGATACTAATTTCCATGCAGGTCGAGGGATCAATCTACCTCTTCGGTCTCATCTCACCCGACTACCAAAACCTCCTCATGACGCTCCAATCCAATCTTGGCGCTCTCGTCGCCGCACCGGGAGACATGGACTTTGCCAAGTTCCGCGCGTTCAAGAACACCGTTAGAGAAGAAGACGAGCCGATGCGTTTTGTGGACGGGGAGCTGGTGGAGAGGTTTCTGGATGTAAGCGAGGAAGTACAAAGGAAGGCCATTGAGGGATTGGGTGTGGAGCTCGAGGAAGTCAAGGGATTGATTGAGGGATTGAGGAGATTACATTAATACAAGGGGATGTACATTACTAAACTAGTAACATGAGTTGAAAGTACTCATCACACAAATGCAAGAAAGGCAGAAACTAAACCATGTGAAAGAAAATCAATCGCAGCCTCCGTCCGCCTCTTTTTAGTTATTACAAGTACTAGAAAGGAAAGAAAATGTCAAATTCCAAAACGCCTCCCATACCATGCCTTCGTAACAAACGCCGTGTTGAGCCGCTGTACATGCTCCAATCCCATTATCGCGCTTGAAGTTGTTCGTTTGCTAGATAAACGTACATTTCGTCGTACAAATCATCATTGCTCGTACCACTTTTGAACGCCTGAACGCCTATCATCCGTATAATCGACACAATCGTGCCTTGGTATCTGTAGTCGCTGTACAGCTCGCTGTGGGAATCTCAAGATTCTTTAGTCTTTTCCACCAGGACGATTTCGTCTATAGGTTCCACTGGCCTCGCCCCCAGGCTTCTGCTGTTGCTCCTGGTCGTGGTCGTGGTCGTGGTCCTGCTCGTAATCCTGGTTCTGCTGGTCCTCGCGCGCCCGATGGTTATACTTCCTACGGTTATTCTTCCTGGGCTTCCTCCTGAACCCGGTGTTGGGGTCCGCACCGTTTCCAGTCTGATGGTGCTCCCCGTGATGGTTCTGGTAGGGCATCCTACCGGCTCGTACGCCGTTGACCTCGCGGTGCTGGTTTGTGAACGGCTCGGGTGTGCCTTCGGTGTACCCGATGTAGGAGGTATGCTCATGGATCCACATAGGACGTTGGGTTTGTTCGTAGTAAGGGGGTGGTGTGGCGTTGAAGTCGAACGGGTTGTGGACTTGATTGTAGTAGTGGGTGTAGCCATCGTATAGGGGGTATGGCTGATACCCGTAGAACGAGGGGCTACAGAATGGCAGTCCCTGTGGATGTTGCGGCAGCTGGTACTGAGGCTGGGCGTTCAGACCTTGTTGGGGCGGCGTCGCAGGGGAAGAGACGCGCTCGCTCGACGCAGGGCTGGGATGCGCAAGCTGGCCGGGAACAAATTCAGCGGCCGTAGGGCTCAGAGGGGCGGGAACTGGGCTATCCGACATTTTTGCGAGAAAGGTCGGTGTAAAGAGACTGGAGTTGGGGCTGCTTGGGGAGTGTTAAGTCGAGGGGAGAAAAGTGCGCCGGAATTTATATAGCGAGAGTGGGCAGCAAGCGAACCAGAAAGTGAAATACTCTTCGGCCCACCGATTGTGGACTCTAGGTGGGAAGTGAAAAGTGAAGAGGTGTGCCTCCCGGCGCGAGTAAATGTACTGTGCCGGCTCAAGCGGCGATGGACCAAGATTGTGCTGCGTTTGTTCGTGAAAGCACTGGACCCTGTTAGCAAGCTAATTGTACCCTTGCTGAGCGGCCTGTTGAGGGATTTTCAGCGATGTGTCGGTGACGAAAAACCGATTTGTAGGAGCTCATGCGCATGCGCGGTACCGTGGTATTGGTTGTCGTCACCCAGTAGGAGGGACCCAGATTGTACAGTCGCAGCAATGGATCGGTATCCTGTCTATTTCAATACACCGTCTTCATCACTGCTGTCTCCTCCTGTGTTCTTCACGCTGTTGAGTTCGACTGTGTCATCGCCTTCGTCTTCGTCGTCCCGAAAGCCCTCCGCGTTCGCGTCACCTTCGCGGTCGAGAAGTGGGGCTTCTCCCGTGGTAGCTACCACACTCTTCTTTTCTGTCTCCTCCCTCATTCCGATGATCACGCTGCCAGCTACCAGCATGGCTGCCCCAAGCCACCATAACCCCGGTAGGTTCTCGCTGAAGATGATGAAGCTCAGGACGGCGGTGACGATGAAATTCGCAGACGTGTTTATGATGCTGACGCGTACGGTCGAGGAGGCAAGGGTAAGGGCACGCGTGAAGAGCCCCCACATGATCGCGTTGAAGACGAGGTTCATGCCAAAGAAGAGCTGCGCGTTGCGTTAGTTGTGTGCGGGTAATAGAAGGCACGACGGGTTGGGAGGACGCACCCCTCGTATCGCATATTCAACAATCTTGTTTGACGCACTCAGCCCGAATGCCAGGGCTATGGAGCTTGACCAGGATGCAGTGAGCTCTGTGGTTGTGCTACATCATCGTCAGTACGCATCGTGGGTTAGGGCGACACGACGGTGTCTTACAGCTTTGCGAAGACGCCATTGAAAGCTGCACATGCGCCACTGGAGATGGCAAGCATCAGCCACGCTGACTTGGTTTGCGGAAGAGACATGATCGCGGCCGAACTGGAGTGCTGCGGGGAATGAGGTCGATGTTCACGGATGCAAGTTGATGATCTGCAAGGTACAACCGGGTGCACTTCCGCGCTTAGTCAATATGGGGTAGTAGTACATGCAGGTCGCATCTTGACGCAATATATGAGGCAGGTGCTCTATAGTGCGCATGCTACTGGGAGTCATAGTCTACTGCCCAGCTCTTCTATCGGCTATCAGTCAATAAGAGTTCACTAAAATTGCACTCCCACCTGAAGTCATCACCTGAGTGTAGCAAAAAGGGTGCCATGGCCCATATATGCAAAAGATCATAATTGTTCCAATTTATCAGCGTTAAAGCAACGCGAATCACGCATTAAGTCCCAAACTCCTATTCATGCCAGAGGTATCGTGAAAGCCTTCCAAGGCTATTTTAGCCGTAACGCCGAAAGCATGTGATGACACAGGTCTCTAGAGTGACTGCTGCTCCAGTCGGTAGATCGCATCTTGCGCAATCGCGTTTGTTTGAACGCGATTGCCTCCTTTCTGCCTTTTCGCAGTGCATCTGACCATCCCTTGAGTCGCCTAGGCCTCGCCAGGACGCTTCGCGTTACAGGAGACGATCTTGACGCGGTCGGCATGAACTTGATGGGTATTGTCCAGCTTGAAGTTGATATCCTTGATAATAAAGGTCCATACGTCGTCGCAGAAGCGGTAGGTATCGAGATGTCCCTGCGGAGTTTCAAGTCAGCACACGATGCTTCTCACTGATCGCCCGTGCGCAACTGACCTTGAATGTCAAGCGCGACTTGACCTTCTCTGAGAGCACATCGGCGACGGCCTTGTCAAAGTTGAGGAGGATCTTCATGGCGAGCTGGGGTTCTATCCGGCGCTCGGTGATGAGGTTGTCCAGGGTGTCAGTGAGAGAGCCGCCCAGGCTGTCCTCTGTTAGCCAGCGCTCCTTGCTATGCTCCCCCAGAGTGGCATGTAGTACCTGCTTCGGCGGTAGAGCTCGTAGTACTTGGTGTTGTCGGTGGCCATGGTGCTGATAGTTGCGACGAGCTGGTGGTTTGGTCTCGGTGACGCCTGAGCGGGAAGAGTGATGGGGGCGGCGCGCCGAGGTGGTGGTTACTAAGCGGTTCGATGCTAGCGCGACGCGGCTTGTTCCGCCTGCATCATCGCCAGCTTCGCGGCGAGTCCATCACGACGAAGCTCCAGCCGCCTCTTTCACCATCCATCTCCGCCTCTACGACCAACGAACCCAACATGTCTCTTACTTATGGAACGGGTGGTGCGACCGCCGCCCTCGGTGTGGTGGGCCTGTGTATGTACCGCGCGCAGGGGCGTAGGCGATAGCTAACGACCTCCAGACATGCTCTTCAACAACGAAGGCGAAGCTTTCAACGTACGCACGCGTTCCAACCAACCCGATACGGACACAACTGATCACATCTCAGGTCGGAGCTTTCCTCGAAAGCATATCGCCATACACATTTGCTAGTGTCGGCATTGCGCTATGCATTGGTCTCTCTGTCGTAGGCTCGGCATGGTACGTCTAGCCGTTGGGAATATACACGCATCGCATCTGACAATCGCAAAGGGGCATCTGGACAACCGGTGTGTCCATCGTCGGTGGAGGTGTCAAGGCGCCACGGATACGAACCAAGAACTTGATCTCCATCATCTTCTGCGAAGTCGTCGCTATTTACGGTGTCATCATGGCCATCATCTTCTCCTCCAAGATGAACCAGCTCTCGGACCCTGAGCTGTTGTACTCTGGATCCAACTACTTCACCGGATACGCGCTGTTCTGGGCTGGAATAACCGTGGGCATGTGCAACCTGATCTGCGGTGTATGCGTGGGCATCAACGGAAGTAGCGCTGCCCTGGCCGATGCTGCGGACCCTGCAATGCAAGTAGCTGTCTTTCCTGGGTCTCTGCTTCGATGCTAACTTTGTTATAGGTTCGTCAAGATCCTTACCATCGAGATTTTCGCTGCCATTCTCGGACTGTTCGGTCTCATCATCGGACTGCTCATGCAGAGCAACGCCAAGGACTTCCAGTGAGCGAAGAGTTCTCGCTTTTTCGCCTCAGGGCACAGTCATACGAACTATATCGAACCTCGATCCCGCCTAGAAGGACGCCAAGGAGGAGTGTTTTCGAGTGCCAGCTTGTGTAGCTGGTGAAGAGGTTACTGAAGGTCATTTGCAGAGGTTGTACAATGTACATAGGAAGGGGCGCTTGTATAATGCATGTAATATGAGCGAGCATCGGCGTTAAATACCATTTATCGATTACTGTTTCCAATGTTCTTGGATGATTCTCTTGAGTGAACTGGTGGATCTGATCGACTCGGCGTGTAAGCAACGGTCCGTGCACGGTGTCCCCAGGGTGGGATGTCCGCTCTACTCCGCTTCGACTCAACATCGACAACATTGAACATGGCCACCACAGATTCAAAATTGAAGGCAGCGATCTTGGTAGTGTCTGAGACTGCTTCCGAAGACCCATCAACCGATAAATGCATACCAGTCCTCAAGAAGGTCTTCGGAGATCTCGGGAATGACCAATGGGAAGTCAGCGAAACCGAGATAGTACCCGACAACACTCTCGCAATCCAGAAGACTATCAAAAGTTGGACTGACAGCCCGGAGCCAATCAATCTGATTGTCACTAGCGGAGGTACTGGTTTCGCAACTAAGGATGTCACTCCGGAGGTGCGCGCTCGTGTTCTCGAAATGGCCCAAGACACGCAGCTAATAGAAACAAGGCAGTTACGCCGCTGATTGATAGACATGCTCCCGGACTTGTGTAGGTGATCTCTATCGATCCTTCATGCGAATGCTTACAGAATAATAGACATGGCATGCTTACAACTTCATACGCCGTCACGCCATGTAAGTCCCTTAAACACTGATGTAACGGTCAGGCTAACATGTGATCAGTTGCACTCATGGCGAGACCTGTCGCTGGAGTGCGAAAGAAGACTTTGATACTGACTTTGCCTGGATCACCAAAAGGTGCCAAAGAAAATCTAGAAGCAGTTCTGAAGTTACTACCCCATGCGTGCATCCAAGCCGCCGGTGCAGAGTCGAGACCGCTGCATGTCGGTGGTGTAGAGAAGCTCGAGAAGGACGCGGGCGTTTCTTCGGGTGGCGTTACTGCAAGTACGTGATAAGCCATTCACCCAAGTAACACTGCAACTTACAATGACAGCAACTGGAAGTGGGCATCACCACCATCACCATCATGGGCATTCGCATGGTTACGGCGGCCATGCAGGCCCCAAAGCTCACACGAACCCAGAAGAGCGTCCCCAGTCTAATGATCCTTCCGCGGGACCAACTCGCAGATATCGATCATCGCCCTACCCTATGTTAGCTGTCGAAGATGCGCTCAAGCTAATCTCGGAGCAAACCCCAGCTGCCGCAGTACAGAAGGTGCCAGTAGACATGAGGCTTAGTGGTTCGGTCCTTGCCGAGGATGTAAAAGCCACTGAGTCTGTCCCGGCCTTCAGAGCCAGCATCGTCGATGGATATGCGGTCAAGATTCCAGCGACTGGCAAGTTCGAGAAAGGAACTTACCCTGTTTCAATTATATCTCATGCACAGCCTGGCGATGTCAAGGAGTTGAAAGAAGGAGAAATTGCCAGAATTACGACTGGCGCCCCGCTTCCTCCTGGTGCTGATGCTGTGGTTATGGTTGAGGATACAGCATTGAAGAGCCTGACAGACGATGGAAAGGAAGAGAAGGAGATCGAGATACTGACTGATGAGATCAAGCCGAACGCAAATGTACGAGAAGTTGGCAGTGATGTCAAAGAGGGCGAGATCATCCTGAAGAGAGGCGAAGGTGTCACAG